ATATATATATATATATATATATATATATATATATATATATATATAATAAGAATTACCATTTACCAAAAATAGTAAGGCAAAATTTTTAGCCATCATTTAATACATATTATTTTTGGATTTTTTTTTACAACTCTTTTAAACATCAAATCGGGTAAACATTAAATGGAGCCTATAATGGTGGGTTTTGTTGAATTACGTTTTCAAATTTTCACTTAATATGTAAGATAATTTGAAACAAAATATCCCTTCTCAGTTTTGATTCCACAAAATCAAATTGCATTTTTTATTAAAAAAATCTGACTGCATACAAATTGGCGTCTGATTTTGAATTGTAATTTTGAAAATAAATATCTTTTCTCATTTTTGTTGCCATAAAATCGGGTCTCATTCAAAATTCTAACCTAAATTAGGATTTTGTTCAAATTGAATTTTCAAAATAAATAATCACATGCGGCAACTATGGGACGGATAAATAAAAGAAATCATTCCTAAAATAAAGGATTTTGAGTCATTAACATTAACAAAACTCTTGGTAATTACTCAATAAAACCTAACAGAAAATATTTACTTTATCTGTTTTCACTATTAAATACAGTAGCCGAAATATATATATGTACACTGTTAATCTTTCTATTGTTCAGTTCTTCGTCTTTCTTATCACGGGAAAGTGTACATCGGGGAGCCTCCAGACGGCCCAAGGAGTGGCGAAAAGAAAAAATCCGCACTTGAGATCTTTCTACCAGAATTAGAAAAAATGCTTTTTTTCTCTCTCTCTCTCTAATTTACATTCAAAATTTCTATTTTATTCGTCTTCTATGTAATCATGGGAACTATGTAAGTACATCTAATATCTACCTTATTCTTCTGCAGATAATTCGAGCTATAAGGCAAAAATCGACAAATATATACATGGAAGAACACGGTGCTACAAATCTACAAAAAAACTGCTTGTGGAAAGTCACACAGGAAGTTGGATGAAAATATTAATCCATGTAATACTTTTACATCAGTTTTAAAAATTTTCTTATATTTGACTTGTGTGTGATATCATATATCTATTTTGATTTTGATTTTTTTAAATCATTATTTCATATAGAACATTACCTTTCGTTTTGTTCAGTTTTACCTTTCATAACATATAAGGTTCTCCGAGTCATGTAATTTGTATAGTTGGTACTCCATGTCCATGCATCAAAACAATAAACAAATTAATAAAATCACTAGTAGAAAAAACATATTTTATAACAGGGTTTCTATAACGGGTTTGTTAAATCCGTTATAAAAATTAAGACGATGGCATTTTTGTAATAATTATATTCTTTTTATATCGGGTGTCTATGAAACCAATTGTATTCATTATAAATTTTTCCGATTCTCAATTATTTATAACGGGTATTAAAAAATCGTTAAAAATTATTTAGATTCTCAATTATTTATAACGGGTATTTAAACAACCGTTACACAATTTTTAAGGTTTATCACATCTTTTTTCCAATCTCCCGTCTTCTCTCGCGCCTAACCGTCTGCCTCTATTTCGCCCAAAATCACAGAATAGATCTCCATCTCGCACAAAATCACAGAAAATCGTCCCAAGCCCTATTCCCACTCCGTCCGTCGCTGTCCGTACCAGGCCCCCGTCGCCGTTCGGCCCAAGCCCTATTCGCACACAACCTGTTCCCCACAGCCCTCGCCGTCCGCTGCTCTGAGCCCTCGACTTCCGGTGCCCGCGTTCGTACTGAGCCCTTGCCGTGAAGCTGCACTGAGCCCTTGACCTCGTAGCCCTCGCCGTCCGTTGCACTTAGCCCTCGTCGTCTGGTGCTCGCCGTTCGTACCAGGCCCTGTTCGCACGTCGCTCGTCACCCTCATCCCTCGCCGTTCGGTTCTCCAATATCTGTGAGATTCTCACCCTCTTTTGGTAGTTCTTATTCTCTTTTGCTGATGTTTTATATGAAGAAGCCCTCTTTTATTCTCATTTGATGTTTTATATGTTTTGCTGTTTTATATGTTTTTGCTGTTTTATATTGTTTTATATCTTTTGGTAGTTCTTATTATCTTTTTGCTGTTGTTTTATATGTTCGTACCAGGCCCTGTTTTATTCTCTTTTGCTGTTTTATATGTTTTGTTGTTGGGGTTTAAGATGAATATGTTTCGCATTTTGCTTTTTAGATATATGTTTCGCATAAGGATTCATGTTGGCGACTTGAATTATGTGGTTATGCTTGAAGAAGAGCATGATATGCTATAGGGGAGATAATCATTTCAAGTCAGCGGAGTATATATTCACATATATGAGTTAACCTTTGTCTAATTTTTTATTTTTGTTCCTCAAACTCGGTCATTAGGCTTTAAATTGTCCAGTGAAATGAGAATAATAGAGGTGACTTGGTACGTATGAGAATTGCATTTTGTACATTGAGAAGTACAGAAAAATCTAGACACGGAAAAATAATCCACAGCAATTTCATTTGGCATGAATGATAGAAGTCTAACACACCAGAATTAGCATTAGCAGGGAATGGATGGTAAAAAATATGCTTATATATTTTACAGAGTTGACACATTATGCTGAGTGTTATTTTTTTTTTCTTTTTCATTCTTGAGTGTTATTTTTTTCATTCGTTTTCTTTGTCAAAACTTTTGGAGTGGAATATCTACAGCCCAACATATTTATGTTTGATTCTACTAGTCACTACATCTAGTTTAACTATACATTTCAGAAAATGAAAACATTACTCTCTTTACAGTGATGATGAAGACATTATGTGATAATTAAACTTAACTTGAGTTTTTGATTTTTACTATATATTATAGTCTTATATTTTTTTTCTTGTGACATTGTTTTTCAAGAATAGAATTGTTACTATATTGTCTTTATTAGAATTGTTTATTTAACATGAACATTTTAGCAAGTTATAGATCGTAAGTGGATAAATGCAACAAGTATTGAATATGAGAATGGAGTGGAAGACTTTTTGGATTTTGCTAAGCGACATGATTCCGAAAGTATAAATGGAAAATTTTATTGTCCGTGTGTGAATTGCCTGAACAATCGACGACTATGTGTTGAAGAAATCAGAGAGCATGTCCTTTGCGATGGTTTCAACAAAAGTTATACACGGTGGATTTGGCACGGCGAATTTGATATGCCGAGTGCATCCCGAACTGAAGAAATTGATGCAGAGGATGCACATATGTATGATCGAGTAGAAGACATGATTAATGATGTCGGAGCAGAGTCATTTGAACAAGCACATGTAAATAAGGTTTGTGAGTCCTTGTCTGTTGATGCAGAAAAACCTCTCTACGGCGGTTGTAAGAACTTCTCCCGTTTGACTGCGATTTTAAAACTAATAAACTTGAAGGCAGCACATGGGTGGAGTGATAAGAGTTTTACAGAGTTGCTGTCCTTGCTTAATGAAATGCTCCCCGAGGATAATGAGTTACCGAAATCCAATTATGATGCAAAGAAGGTTTTGTGCCCGTTAGGCTTGGGTTATAGGAAGATTCATGCTTGTCCTAATGATTGCATTTTGTACAGAAATGAGTACACAAGTCTTCAGGAGTGTCCGAAATGTGGAGTTTCAAGATTCAAAAAGGGAGCTGATGCAGATTCAAGTACACGTGTTCAACATAAGAGACCACCTGCAAAGGTGCTCTGGTATCTTCCTATAGTACCAAGATTGAAACGTCTTTTTGCTAGTGAAACAGAGGCAAAAAACTTGAGATGGTATGCAGATGAGAGAAAAAAAGATGGAATGCTCCGTCACCCGGCAGATTCGCCTCAATGGAAAAAGATTGACCAACTTTTTCCTTGCTTCGGAAATGAGCCCAGAAACCTAAGACTCGGACTTTGTACTGATGGGATGAATCCATATGGCAATCTCAGCAGCAAGTATAGTGCATGGCCAGTTCTATTGACCATTTATAATCTTTCTCCCTTGTTGTGCATGAAACGCAAGTACATTATGTTGTCTATGATGATTTCGGGGCCAAAACAACCTGGAAATGACATAGATGTTTACTTACAACCGTTGATCGAAGACTTGAAGATGTTATGGGATGAAGGTGTTGATGTATTCGACGCATATAAGAAAGAAGCCTTTAAAATGCGTGCGATGATCTTTTGTACAATAAATGATTTCCCAGCTTACGGAAACTTGTCTGGCTATAGCGTTAAGGGGCATAAAGCATGCCCTAAATGTGAAGAAAACACGTGCTACCATCAACTTGAACATGGAAGAAAGACTGTCTACCTTGGAAGTCGAAAATTTCTAAAACGTGACCATCCGTATCGTAGATTGAAAAAAGCTTTCAACGGTGAGCAGGAGTATGTGAAGGCTCCAGATGTCTTAACTGCTAAAGATGCTTTCGACCGAGTGAAAAATATGAATGTGAAATTTGGTAAGGC